AGTATCTTTTTCTATGATAACCATTACTATTATTTACGTGATGGCAAATATATCCTACTTTACCGTAATGTCACCAATGGAGGTACTTCAGTCACCGGCAGTAGCTGTAGTGAGTATCGTTATTAAACGTCATGCAAATGATGAAGGCACATGGGCTTGTCACTATATGTACATGGTTCTATAACTAACACATAGTACGAGAATTATTCGGACCCTGTATATAAAAACGAGCGCCTATTGAGGTAATAAAGTCACCGAGTTTAGCGTAAGCAACGGCTAAGTTGACCAGGGGTGGCCGGTTAATTTGTTATAAAGTTGTAATGAAAAATAATTACCCGGTCATTTGTTCAATAAATTGATGATCTACTCTAGGAGAAGGGGAATACCAAAAATAGAATATATATTATTGAATGAAAAGTAGTGCTTTCTCAATTTTGACAGAAAAAAAATATCATTTTCCTTATGAACACCTACGTATATGTATAAGCACTGTTTCTACATCGTATACTTTTTTAACGTAATTTAAACGCTATGGGAAATCACAAATCATTATTTTTATTCAGTCAGCTACCAGTTCATGGTGATACATTTAAGAATTCGTGAATCCCGTTTTGTATTGTTAAAATTAAAGTGACTGCCTCGGTTTTTGCTGACCAACCCTGATTGTAAAAACTGAACTGTTCGATTAACTGTATATGTGGAGTGTCATTAGAGTGGAGTGTCGTTTTGTTGACTGTTTTGGTCATTCTTATGATTGTATTTAGACGTATAGTTTGGGAATATGTAACTGCATGTTGATATAACATATTGTTCAATCTCTTAGACTTTTGGCGATCAAGTACTGGGCAACTTTGCATGGCTTATGCCTGTGACGGTGGCTTTATCAACGTTTGGTTCGAATAATGGAAGCGTGCTCGGATTTTCAAGGTACTGTTAAAGCGCGGTGGTCGTCGCGCAGCGTGTGTTTGAATTTCATGTAAATAAACAATGTATTTTACAAGCGTTGTATACGTCGCTATGAGTCCCATATCGAACAGGACGCGACACGATGACTGCCACCCTTTAAGCATTTGAATTGTCGCAATGGAATCTTATCAATTACTATAATGTATTCGTCCTCTAAGCAAATCATCTTTAATTTCTCTTACAAAACAAACACGTTTTACTCAGTATTCAATTAATACGTTGATAGGTTAGTATTCGTAGCAGCGAGAGATGGAATGCTACCGGATCTACTTTCTATGGTGAACATCAGATATAACACTCCTATGCCTGCCATTATTTCAGGGGTGAGTGTGTCCTACATATCTATCGTTATCGACATGTTTCTGATCTTTATCAAAATATTTCACATTATTTATTAATTTATTTTTAATATTAGTAAGTTTTAACAGCGCTTCACACGATAGGAATCATGTCAGAAAGCAAGTTATGAAACGTTATCAATAACTATCGTAATAATGTCATATCTGTGTTTGGTATAAGGCGCCCTCTGACGGTAATTGGTACGAATCAGTAACTTCCGTTTTGTGAACATTTATGTATATTTTTCGCGTTTTGTAATGGGTTTACTGAATACCACTTTTACATCTTTACTCTATTAGAGCGGCATGTATATTATATGTATCCGTTTTTTTAAATTGTTTATACAAACATTTCCTAAATAATTATAGTGTCAATTTGTAAGGGCCATCGCCGAAAAAGCATATCCTATACGCTATATAATGACGTTGTACATTAAATAACTTGCAAGTGGAAAAAGATGACTACAGGGTTGCGTCTAACTGAGGACGCCATCATTCGAAATCTAATTTTGTCGAGCAAACTTCAGGGGTTACGCTACAAGAGGGTAATTTTACCAGGCCCTGGGCGTAATGTCAAATACGTCTCCATCTCTGACGGCCCCTTACTGAAGATTTTATGCGTAATTTACCATAATAGTGTGTGTCATCACATGGTTCTGCGGTTCTCGTCACGTGGCTATTTTTCAACCAAATGGGGACCACTCGACGATCAGCTGACGTTGCATTTTATGTGACTTTTGTGTAGGTTCACTTCGACGTACAATTGTGTCAAAAACAATATTTCGGCAAGATTTGGTCATATTTATGTCATTACATTTTTTTTAAATCACAACTATTGCAGCTATATGTCATGTATACCATAGCTTAAATTCTCAAATTATCAATTAAATTTTACAGAAAATATGTTACGTACTGACATGTCCATGGTTAAACGTTACATCAACGTTAACCGGAACAAGTTTTAGTGTTTAAAGTTCTGGTCACGGTCAGTTAAAACAGCACTATAGACATGCACATTTAATATTAATATATTTTTCTACTACTACGCTTCAGATGATACTGTCAATAATATATGGTTTGTACCCGGATGTAGGTGTTCTCGTTAATTACACGGGCTTTGCATATTGGTTATTTGTTGGTATTGTTGTAACCGGTCTTCTTTGGTTACGTTACAAACAACCAAATAGGGAACGTCCTTTTAAGGTTAGTGTCGTGATATTTGATAGACATTTGATTTTCCCAACCATAACGGTTCTCAAGTGGCTCGCGACTTGTGGTGGTACAGTAGTTTTTCGGTACACGGTTCTATCTAGATACTGGCAATCTACTATTGGTCACTTAAACCTTAAAACATTGTGCATGGTAACTCTGAGTTGATTATTGTACGTAGCAGTCTGAGATAAGCTAACTAATAGTCCATCCATGGACAAATACGATTTGCGATATCCACGTTATCAAATAGATGCACAATTTCAAAAGGTAATTCGTGTACTTAAACGAGATCCCCTGGAGATGCAGAAATTTGCAAAAAGGCGAAATTCAATGAAATAAAAAAATATTGTGTTCAGTTCTAGGAATAATTTGTTATTCATTTTTTTTTCAGGTTCCTATTGGAATAGCAATTTTCTTTGCATTGTTTTGTTACTTCTTAGTGTTTTTATCCATATTTATTGCCACAATGGAAGCAGTCATTGGTACGGTTATCTTTTTAACTGGCATACCTGTTTATTTTTATGGTGTTGTGTGGAAATCTAAGCCAAGGTGGTTAAAAAATATACTTGGTGAGTATAGATATTTCTTATCACGACTGTCTCATAACTCCGGTAAAATACTATCAATCAATAAATCAATCAAACGCACGTCATATATAGGACATGATATATGAATTCAAGATTATAAAAATACACAGAAATAAATGATCAATACAAAATGTGAGTACACGGTACATTTCTATTTATTTATCGTTTTTTCTCTTTTAGATACCGGACTACGGTGTGGCCAGAAGATAATGCTTGTCGTTCGTCAAGAGAAAAAAACGTACTGATTGAGACTTTAATCAAGAATCTTTGTTAATGTTACGCACTATGCAAGCATTCTTTGTATATGTATGATTGTGTTAATCTGCGTAATCTTGTAGTCTAAAAAATGTGTGTTCTTTTCTTCATCATTATGGTCGTTTAGTTTGGTTGTATGTTGTCTATCATCATACAGCGTAATATTAAAATAATCGCTGTATACAAGCGGGACAACGAGATTAAATAAAACCACATTTATTTATTGTTTGAGTATCACCTATCCAAGTGATTAGTGACACCGCAGTTGGTTGGCATTCTAAATGCTAAATGTTGTACTACTTACAACACTATAACATGATTAATTGACTGTTTTGATTTTATTTTTATTTAAAGCAAAACAAAGTACAAAATATACAAACACACATGGACATATGAAATACAGGACATAAATGAACATGGTTATAATACATAGTTCCATATGACCAAACAATTCATTCTAAACTAAAACTACTAAAACTTCGATCAGTGCACAACGCCCAAAATGTTTATTCCACCAAAGAACACGAACAATTATACCTACGGGCAATGTTAGATTTTTGTGGATATGTAGCAGAAAAAGTCACATACAACAGCGAGTTATTCCGAAATGTGAAACAAAATGTTTTATTAGTCAAAGAAAACTAAAATTCAGTCTTCAATTACACCCAACATTTTTATCAAAATACTTAAGAATTGTGAGTAAAAGTATTTACTTTGTATTATGTGTGTCTTATAGTTATGTTTAGGTTTATGTTGAATGGTCGATGGAAGTGGGTTAACCACTCGTCATTTT